CTCATTATGTCGAGTTAGATCTTGTTTGATTAATTCGCCGAAATGTGTAATTACGCGAGTTTCGATGATGGTAATATTGAATTGTGAAAGGCTATATTAACGACCGTTTGCTATCAATTTCGAGATTGTTGATTAAAAGATTACCTTCAGCTAAGATACATAGATAAAAAATAGAGGAAGGGGGAGAAAAGAAAAGGAACACACAGAAATGCAACAAATTACCAATAATAATTGTAATTTTTTTAGAATTAATATAATAACATTTTAATTTATTTACCGATATTACCGTATATTTTTATATCAATTTTACATTCCGCGGCTTTGCATCCATTGTGAATAACATATTTTTTTGCATAAATTTGATGAGTTGACCTTTACCGAGAAGCTGGCTAATTTGTTTATTAGTTTTCCGTTGCAAGCGACTCTGAGCCAAAAGTGGCAATAAGCCAAAACTTTCAGAGTCTTTAATTATTGTATTGGTTATATTAACGACTGTTACATATTTCTTGAAAGTTGAAAATAATAATTTTTATGTAAATTTTGTGCATCAAAATAGTATGTGATTCTCATTGGCCTCTCTTTAATTTGTATTTTGATTTTAATTGTTATCTGCATAAAATGTCAGTTTTAATTTTCTAACTTTTCAGTACACTTTATTGTTAGTTAAGACCACAAATTTAAAATGCAGTTTGCAAAAGTTTTGTCGGAAAAAAACTACGGAGGCGTAGACACTTTTCTTCGAAGAAAATGTTAAAGAAGAATGAAGAAGAGTAATTTTTTTTCTCGAGAAAACCATATAGCAGAAACAGGATAACATTTTAAAGTACTATTAATAACTTTAACATTATATAACATTATATAACAATATATACTTTGTTAAATATCTTATAAATCTTTATGAAAGAATCAATATATAGAAGAATCAATATAACAAACAGAAAAAAAGGACAGAGAAATTTCTTATTTTTGTATAATTTATATTTTGTTTAATTTACGTAACATTTTACAAAACTTACATATTTCATGGACATTCTTCTATTATTTTTTTTTTCATCTTTATCGCGACTAGAATGAAATTTTTGTGTTTCCGAATAATATTTCGTCGAGTAAGAAGATTTCAATTTATGCAATATAGTACATATCAGTTGTATTTTATATTCTATATCATCACATTCTATATTTTATATTCTATATCAGTATAATGTTTCAGAAATCGATACAAACACCATTATGCACAAATAAAAAATTAAAAACAAATACCATTATGCACAAATAAAAAAAAATTAAAAACGAAACGACTATTCGATAGAAAATTCATGTATAAAGAAACTGCAAGTTTATGTTTTGCATTCCTTTTTTGCTCAAATGAACTATTAACATATCAAAATTATATTACTTCTTCTTTCATTGATATAAATTATATCTCTGAAAAAAATTAAAAATATTAATTCATATGTATATATATATATATATATATATATATATATATATATATATATATATAATATTATATATAT